GCATGTTGTGTTGCATCGGAGAATTTTGCTTTTTCCTTTATGTTTTTTGAGACCTACTGCTGCAGAGGCTGCTGCTACACTGGTCGTCTTCTCTTGCATTTGTTGTTGAGTGTGCGATAGAAGAGCCAAGTCATCTGCGAAGTCCAGATCGTCCAGCTGCGTCCTAATTGTCCAGTTGATACCGTGCTTCCCTCCAGATGTTGAAGTTTTCATAATCCAGTCGATCACCAGGAGAAAGAGAAAGGGTGAGAGTAAGCAACCTTGCCTGACACCGGTCTTCACCTCAAATGAGTCGGTTAGCTGTCCTCCGTGCACGATTTTGCAGTTGAATCCATCATAAGAGTTCCGTATGATGTTACCTATTTTCTCAGGCACACCGTAGTGTTGAAGAAGGCTCCACAGTGTTTTCCTGTCCACGCTATTGAATGCTTTCTCGTAGTCGATGAAGTTGATGTAGAGTGGTGAGTTCCATTCAATTGATTGTTCCACAATGATCCGTAATGTAGCAATTTGGTCAGTACACGATCGATCCTTCCGAAATCCGGCCTGTTGATCTCGAAGTTGGGCGTCTACGATGTCCTTCATTCTGTTTAACAATACCCCGTTGAAGACCTTGCCTGGTATTGAAAGAAGAGTGATGCCTCTGTAGTTTTCACACTTGCTGAGATCGCCTTTCTTTGGTATTTTGATGAGGTATCCTTCTTTCCAATCTGATGGTACTTGTTCCTCATCCCAAATCTTCTTGAAGAGGATGTGAAATGTTTTCGCAGTTGCTTCTACATCTGCTTTCATTGCCTCTGCTGGAATGTTGTCTGGTCCTGCTGCTTTGCCGTTCTTGATTTGTCTGATGGCCATACTGATCTCCTCAATCGTAGGTGCGCCAATATTAATTGGGAGATTCGTGGATGCTGCTTCGATGTTGGGTGTCTTCAGAGGAGCTGGTCGATTCAAGAGTTCCTTAAAGTGCTCTACCCACCTATTTCGCTGTTGTTCAGTGTTGCTGATTACTTTGCCTTCCTTGCTTTTCACTGGTCGTTCTGGTTTACGATAGTTCCGGGCGAGCTTCTTTGTAGTTTCATACAATTGTCTCAAGTTTCCGTCTCTTGCAGCCTTTTCCGCCGTCGTTGCTTGATCTTCCACGTATTTTCGTTTGTCATCTCTGATGCTCTTCTTCACTTCCCTGTTTGCTTCTGTGTATGCAGCTTGTGCGGTAACTTTCTCCGCTCTTGTTCGGCTGACATTGATTGCTGCCTTCTTGTTCCTCCTTTCTTCAATTTTTGCGAGAGTATCAACAGAGATCCATTCCTTATGATGGTGCTTCTTGCGACCAAGGACCTCCTGACATGTTGAAGTGATTGCCTCCTTAATCCCTTTCCAATTGTTCTCCAATGTTGTGTCCTCTCCATTGTGTAGATCCTGTAAGGCCTTGAACCTATTGGTGAGGGCTATCTTGAATTCGTTGAGCTTTACAGTATCCCGAAGAAAGGCCGTATTAAACTTGTGTGATGTTGTCTGTCCCGTTGTCCAGTGCTTCTTTAGTTTCAGTTTCATTTTGGCGATTAGCAAATGGTGATCTGAGGCTACATCAGCTCCTCTCTTGGTTCTCACATCCTCCATAGTCCTTCTGAACGTTTTGTTGATACAGATATGATCAATCTGGTTTTGAGTAGTGTGATCCGGTGAACTCCATGTAGCTTTGTGTATGCGTTTGTGCGGGAATATTGTGCCACCGATGACCAGTTTGTTGACGGAATGGGGTCGCCAACCCCATGTCCAACCCTCCTCCTTTACCCGGGCTTGGGACCGTCAGTAGCCCCGAAGGTTCTACTGGCGGAGTAAATGAATTTTAAAATTAAACATTCATTTAACTTTTTGAAATCATGAATCCGTCAATGTTAAATCACCATCAGACATGTGACAGCACTTGACGGTCGTTTCGTCACGATATGAGACTCGCAGGATTCGAGCTAAGGACCTTCGATCTTGCACGCATGTTTCTATTAGAATGTTCATAAACTAAGCAAAAAGGCTTTTGTTTTTTTCCCATGACATAACCTGTGTCTTCTTTGGGTTTGTTTTCAACATTTCACCATTTCTGTTCAATAGACTAGACCAGTCAATGAGGTATATTTCATAGCGGACATTTATGTTCGTTATGTACTTTTCTAATGGCTGTAAAAAACCATAAAACAATAGTCATCTAATGTCTACACTGTCAAGTGAATCATTTTTTTTTGCCAATATATTGACATTTCTCTACTGTAAATAATGTTCTAGACAAGAAATAGATATAATTTTTATAATAAATCAAGTGATATGACAAATGAATGCAGTGTATATAAACATTTAGAAAGTTTTTTTAAATTCTTTTATTCAATTAATGAAATACTGGAAAATTAACACTAAAATGAAAATCATTCTTTAGCTATTTTTAGTTATATGAAAATAAAACAACCAAAAGGTAATAAATAATTTTTTTGTGTGTGTACTTGTCGCAGCCCTTGGACAAAAATAATTAGTTCATTATTCTCAAGTTATTATTCACTTGTCTTTTAATCCTGGTCAGTTATTCACTGATATCTGCGTTGCTTTTAATCGAGTGTGTGTGTGTGCACGCCTACCTCGCTTACTACATCTCTAGGGTTAGTTTGTCTCACTATAGGTGCTTAGTCATGTTTCACAGAATTGGAGTTGGCTCACTCGACTTCTCCACTTCAGTTTGCTTGTATGCTACTCATTATCATGTCTGCATCGACGATTGCCTGAAATAAACTCTTCTTGTTACCGCCGTCACACAAACGGGGTTCGCTCAAGTATGATATACGGAAAGTGATGGGGATATCTATTTCAGTGCACATTTAAATGTTCATACACATCAAAGTCAGATAGCTGGCCACCAAAGTGATGAGCCCTGACTCGAACTCAACAACAGTGACCAAAAATTAATGATACAATTATTTAGAATTTGTGCTTGATGAGAAAGTCATAATAGCTTAAGTTGACAGAATTATTGACCACTAAGAAATGTCGACGATAACTTGATTTCATGTGTTATGGATAAATTTCTAACTTTCTTTCTGCTATCATTTGAAAATCTCATCTATCTAATCTGAACTGGGGCTTTTTTAGTTGTGAACTTACTGAATGAACATAGAAAAAAATTTGAGACTTTAACATGAGTTAATTTAAATTTATCTGTTGATCAGTAATTGAATTTAAACAAAAAAAAGGATTATAGTTTCAGATTATTCGACATTTTATTCGTAAACAGCAGCTACTTAGAATTGAATCTTTCCTAGATTCATTTGATAATGCACTGTTTTATTGTCGATGGCAGACATCAACCAATAATGATCAGAAGGCTACAATTACATCACGAAAATCGCTTGAATTTCTTTTCAAAATTGACATTTATTACTTTAGGTAGAGTGAGAGATTGACTATGTCACATCTTATGATAACCCAGTCAGATGAGAAATTGCCTCTAACTTCAACTTCAGTGTAAACTTAAAAACTGTTCCTACAGAACAACTAATTTCTTTCTAAGCTATTCTTGTCAGCGCTGTGTGTTGGGTCAGAGGATATCTAGCGATACACTATGTAAAATGATAATAGACTGGCAACAAATTTTAACATTAATTTATTGGTAAAATGTATAACTAATGGTACAAAGTGTTTTTACTTTTTTTCTGAGCTAGTTATTCTCCTACGGGATACGGGCCGCTAACCCCATGACCAACTCTCCTCCTCGACCCGGACTGGAGACCGGCAGTAGCCCAAGATGAGCTGCGAAGTTATTATTTATGCTGAAATTGAAACAAGGGTTGAATATTCTAAACGCTGTTATATGTAACCTAATGACATTAATTGACTGACTGTTATAAAACACCGAAAATATCACATTTTAAATGCATGGCATTTTCAAATTATCCAGTTACATAGTTTACAGCTAAGGTCTTTTAACAATTTATGAATCTGTTTGGCAGAATTATTATCAAGACTAGTAGAACCTAAAAAAGGGTCTACTTTTGATCCCAATAGAATATCACCCGAAATTCTGGGGTCTATGGGATTCAAGACTTTGAGCAATGGTATCATAAAACATCTCTGCGACACACGTAAGGTTGATAGATTGAATTTATTCAGCATCATCAGTTGACAGCTTTCAATTTTATTATTCTTCTGTGATGATACATATCCATTTTAATTGATATAGGCAGCTGTTTTCCAAATAAAAATCCAAACTCTCTTACACTACTGTTTGGGATGTTAAATCGTCAGAACTCGCTTGGTAAATGCCTTATTTTGGATTTCACGTTTGCGTGCATGGGCTGATCAGTTGACCTTGAGATTTCATTTCTCACCAGGAAAATCCATGGCTGTGATTGGCCGTTGTGTATTTTAGTGTGCTATTTTCGTAACTGTCCCAAGGATGTTTCCATGATGTATAAATAAACGAGAGTTGTTTGCTTGATTGTACTGTAATTGCTGGATGTTTGTAGAATATACTTTCTACGCTTACAAAGCGTTCTATTTTCAGATTGGGATTCAAGGTAGCCTATCTGGACGCTGGTTCATTGTCTCGTTCGCGTTTATCGACTAAGGTGAACTCGTAATAGTTTCAAGTGTACCTAGTGACGAACCCTACAACTACTAATATCACATGATTCATTTCATTCTGTAGTCATTATATTTCCATAAACTGAACTGCAAAAATTCATTCTCCTATTAGATCACTGACTGAATAATGAGTGCATATTGTTGAAAAAATCTGAAAACGAAACTAACTACTTGTCTTCTGTCATCCAGTTTGTAATAATTCACTAGTTTTAATCATTTTGTGATATCAGTTCATGTCATACAAACTGTACGTGACATTTTTTTGTAAACAGTCTAAATAAAATATACTAATTTATTTCAGTTAATTTCCTTTTATATTTTTTTATTTCCACAACTGTTTTCCTAAAATCCTGTTTTTTACACATTTCTCTTTGATTTAGATAGGTCGAGTGTATGCAGTAGATTGTGATGCGGAATTATCGAATCGTATTGTGCGATATAGTATGAGACCATCACCAGGGACAGTGGGTCAAATGGTGAAACTTTATGTTTACATTAGTTTTGAAGGTATCATCTATACACATCAAACAACAGATCGTGAACAAACACCTGTGTTAACATTTGAAGTAATAGCCACTGATACAGGCAATCCACCATTGTCAGCTGTAACAAGTGTTCTCATTAGAATTTTAGACACCAATGATAATTCACCAGTATGGATATTTCCTAAACAATTCGGTGCTAATAGTGTAATAAATATATCACAACATTCAACTGTTGGTTTATTAATTGCTCAATTAAAAGCAATTGATATTGATGAAGGTTTAAATGGTGAAGTGGTCTATTCCATTGTTCATGGAAATGATGATGGATTATTTGAAGTGGATTCAATGAGTGGTACTTTGTATTTAATACGTTCATTGCATCATTTAATACAACCAATGCATTTAAAATCATTCACGAAAGATGAATTAAATAATAATAATAATACTATATTACTTCAAACTGGAGAAATATTGGAGAATCCAGCGAAATTTCATCATGAACAAATTCATAGTTATCGACTTTTGTTGAAAGCACAAGATCGTGGTACACCACCACGACATAATACCACCGTGCTGTATGTGGCTATAATTCCTGCACAATTCGATAAACAATCATACACCACTGATCGTACCTCCATGGAATCAATGATGTATCATCAACAGACAGATGTGAAACGTCAATCAGATTCAAGTATTATTTTAGATTTTAAACGAATGGATCGTGACCTGATCGTAATGATTGTGTTAATTGCATTGACTCTGATTATTTCAGTGATTTTAATTGTGACCATATTTTTGATACGATGTCGGCATTTATTATGCATTATGCCATTTCGTAGACAAACGCATCATAATCGTAACAATAATACTAATAATCATACTATTACAGCTAATAATAATAATAGTCATCATCATCCGTTTACATTAGAAAATCATACAATCCAATCAAATAATAGAAATGCTTGTGAATTTATTCGTGATCAATGGTGGAATAAGTTACGTCAAGTTAAAACATTACCAAAAGAATATTGTACAAATAAATCGGGAGGTGATTTATTATCTACCTCTAGTCAAGAAATGTATAGAGCTAGTACACTTGGTAAGTATTTTTCTTTCATTTGATAATAATAATAGCACATTATTAACACCGTTGAATACCGGCCCAGTGATCCGGTGGTTAGGCGTTCGCGCACAATACCGAAGGTCCTGGGTTCGAATCCTGCCGGGGGCAGGAGTCGTGGATGCGAACTGTCAATGATGAGTCAGTCCTATGCCAGGACGAAATGGCCGTCTTTCAGTGCTTCCAGGTTTCTAATGGTGGTCTAACAATGATTGTGTGTAAAAAAACACAAATCTCGAAAAATCTAACCGACAGTAATAATATTGGTTTATTCTTTTTATTAAATAATGATCCGAATAAAACGACGCATGATATGAAACAGAATGATTACTTAGTTAGTTGCGCCTGTTACCCACAATGGAGAAAAGGCTGCTGACCAGTATTCTTCAAATGACTCTGTCCTGAGCTCCCCTTTCCAGTTCTGTCAGATTTTTGTTCATTCTTCTCATGTCTTTCGCGATTTCTCGGTGTAATATGTTTTTTGGCCCTCCTATTTTCCTTTAATCTTGATGGTATCTAGTGAGAACTATTGAAAATCTATTCTTAATCAAACCGGCACAATATCGAATATACCTTACGAGTGTATCGTCAACAAAGAATTGTAGTCACACGAAAAAAATGAGCAAGTTAGAGAACTGAGAATTGCAATGTGTGATGTACCTATGGAGATTAAACAGAAAAATATACTATGATGCATTGTTGAGGAGATTATGGAACTACAAGTTTCAAATCATCAACTGACGTCAATTAAACAGTTAGTGAAAGCCAAGAAAGGATTAAACATAATTATGTTAATTTTGAATCTACGGTTAATTTTAAGATAAAAACTAAAATAATTACAATGACGATAAAACCCAGTGAGTTAATTGAATAATGCAGTAAGCACTTCAAGTGAAAGGTTCTGGGTTCTAGTCTTGACTTTAACATTAGCATTAGTGATGATATATCCAGCTAGCAAGTTTCAAATAAGGCGAATTACCTGAATTCCACCGCTAACAATCATATAACTTAAATCTTGATCATTGACGGTAATATTGAGGCTATTCTTGTTGGATTTACATACATCAACAGAAAGTGATTCATTTGAGTTCGTAACATCAATCGATTTATTTCGGTATTACATCTATAAACTCATTCAGTCCACTCATTTAGGCATAAGTATAATTATTTTTCAAAATCAAACAAGTCGGAAGGAGTAAACGAAACAGGGAAACAGGATGTAATTTGAGTGCAAATGATATTTATAAACTATTTCCAATTCAGTGGACAAAACAACTAAATTAACGATAATTACTGAAGGCAAATTCACTATAATAATTATGATAATGAAGTATATGAATTAGTATTACCCAGTATTATAATCCATAAAGTGTTTCGTCCCATTTAAGGCTCGTTAGATAGTTAAACCTCTTAGTGACATAATATTCAATGTCGAAATCATTTCTGAAAAATATTCATGATAATCTTGGTAATGAAAAGATGGCATGAAAGAAATGACAACTGTGAGTTTCGTGGTGAAGACTTCACCAAAATGAACAATAAAGGTATTGTTTTGGATGAATGAAAGTTGAAAGATTGAATAATCTTTGTCCAATGAAACACAAATTTTATAAACAAGACGGTAAATTAATCATCATAATTAGACCGGATGATTCAAACCTTTTTTGTATACATAGATTAAATTTGAGTCGACGGAGTACTTCTGTATATGCCACATGTAAACGTCTAATTTTACTCTGTCTATTTATTACTCCCAATATAGTTGGACAATCTACTCGATGGCCCGAAATATTGATATATATTCTTATGGTACTGACTAATAGTTTGTAAAAATTTCTGACTCAACAAACTGGTACGCATTCTGAGATTTCTTCGGATAATACTCGCTTAGACTTTTCGACCTAAGGGCTACTGGAAACACAGATTTAACAAGTGAAGGTAATTAGAGATGGTCTGTTATTTGAGTAAGACCATTTGGTTAGGTTATTTTATTCACTGTGCTATAACAAAGTTAGTGGAATTCTCTCACTTATTCTGAGCTCTATAATTATCTCTTTTGAATGGAAGTTTGACAAGAACATTCTTTCAAGGTGTAGTAGTTCTTTGGAGAATCTCATTAGCTTACTTCATTTAGTTATTAACAAAATTTATAAGAAAGTTATTACTGGCTATAATTTTCTAAATAATTTCCACTTCGCAATAGAGTGAAGTTTTGAAAGACACTGTGCATTCTCGAGGACATTATTAAAACAAAAACTGTTATGCCTGTAAACTGACAGGAATTCTGTATTCATTATTATTATGACTTAACAAAATATTGTTCTATGCAGAAAAGTCGTTGGACAAATTAAAAAAAAACATGAAATTAACCAATCTTTGTTTATCAGGATCTATCAGTTCAAAAACTATTTTATAAACCGCTTAAATTTGGATGGGATGAGCTTTCAAAAAACAATCTCTTAATAAATATTCCTTGATCTTTGTCTGGTGAG